CGAAAGCAGCCTCGAGCTTTTGATAAGGATGCCATGAACCACCCAGAGTCCAAGTCTATCTTGCGCCAGATTGTCGAGGGTATTCCTTCGGTTCCCTGGGAGGTGAATGCGTCAGTACATGCGGCCAAGATCAGTAAGTACTTGAGAAATGCTCTTTGCCAAGCCTTTCCGAGACAGCGCAAGGTTCGACCAAATGAGATAGCCAGCACGAAAGCACGAGACTTATGCGCTCTTACAACAAGTCTGAAAAGACAACTCAAGCCCTACAAGCTCATGACACGGCTTGCCAGCCTACACGAGTGTTTCAATGCTTGGAAGAACAACCATGCAGCTACTGAGTCTGAGGTGTCCCGACAGTGGACCCAACAACTCTTTGCTAAACAAGCCTTGATCAGACACAACCTCAACCAAGCTGCGTGGCAGCTCCGCAAACAACTCCAAACCGATCGCAAGTGCTATCTGGAGAGCATCTGCAACCGAGCCAAGCCGGGGGAGGTGTTCCGAATGCTCAGGCCGCTCATAGGGACTAGCCGCAGACATGGAGTCGGCACTCCCCTGCCCCAAATCAATAATGCTGATGGTACTGTTTCTGCCAGTTTCGAGGAGTATCAACAGAGATGGACCGAACATTTTGCTCAGCTTGAGGGAGGGCATATTGCTGATCCCAGTCTGTTTGTTCGACCAGAACTCGATAGGCAAAGAAATCAGCCGATGGTGCAGTGGCAGACGATCACTGACACGCCATCCCTATCGCATTTGGAGGCGGCCTTGCGCAAAGTCAATCTGCACAAGGCAGTAGGACCAGATCAGGTGCCAGGAGATCTCCTCCATATGTTTCCAAGGGAGTTTGCTCGAATCCTTTCCCCACTCATGGCCAAATTTGCCTTTCGATTGCATGAGCCAATCCAATGGAAAGGGGGCCAGTTGATCAAGTTGTATAAGGGCAAAGGTCCAATCCGAGAGTGCGCCAGCTTTCGCAGAATCCTGCTGATGAGCACAATAGGGAAGGCCATTCGAAAGTCAACCGAGCGTTCGTGGAAAACAGCACTGACACGCATTTCGGAGGCAAGCCTGCACAAAGCGTGATATTTGGGGCGCAAACAGTTCGCCACTTTATATCCATGCGTAAAAATGCAGGCACATGTTGCGCCATTCTTTTCTGTGACATTGCTTCTGCCTTCTATCGAGTGCTCCGGCAGCTTGCCACCGGTGCGGGTATGAACGATGAACACATTGCCACAGTGGTTGCACGCCTTGGATTGTCACCAGAAGTCCTGCACAAATTGCACCAAGCCCTGAATGGCCAATCTGCACATGAGCAACTTCTAGGAACTCAACCAGAGAGAATGCTCCTGCGAGAAAGTCTCAACGGGACCTGGTTCTGGACAGAAAAGGGCCCGTTGGTCCACACCCTTGTCGGAACAAGACCAGGTGACTCGTGGGCAGATATAACCTTCAATATCCTGTTTGCAGAAGTAATTAATGAGGTCCAGAAAGAACTTCTTCACCTAGGCCTGGCACTCACTGCCTGCGAATGCCAAGAGCTGTTTCGATGTACTGAATCCTACTATGCAGGACATCTCCGATATTGCCTGTCACGCCACATGGGCTGACGATCTAGCTTTGCTACTGCCATTAAGTTCGCCGGAACAGGCCGTCGAACAGACAGGGCGGGCCGCACAGGTCCTCCTTACGCAGCTTGCACGAGTGGGTCTGAAGGCTTCATTTGGCACGTCTAAAACTGTGGCTCTGCTTTTCATTAGAGGCAAAGATGCTGTGCAGGTTCGGAGAAAGGTATTCTCGTGTAAGAACCCCCAGATTCCAGTGATTTTGGAAGAAGAGACAGTGATGATACCTATCGTTACACAGTACAAGCACCTTGGCGGTATAGTAGCGGCCAAAGCCAACATGCGACTTGAAATCTCCGCCAGAATCGGCAAGGCCAACGCTGCTTTTGCGCGAATCTCCAAGAAGGTGCTTCGTGCCAGGCATTATCCCTTGAAGCTCCGACTGCAGCTCTTTGAAGCGACTGTCATGTCAATCTTCACCTGGGGATGCGGGGCTTGGCCCTCTCTTCAAGAAGCAGAGTGGAGAACCTGGCGCAACGCTTGCTACAAGATGTTCCGCAGGCTCAGTCCGCTTTCGAATGAAATGCAAGTGAGACATGTCTCCAATGCCGAAATTCTCATTTCCCTTGCGGTGCCGACCCCGCTTGACCGCATACAGGTTGCCCGTGTCCGCCACATAGGATCTATGATCAGCAATGCAACCAATGCTGTGTGGGCTCTACTACGACAGGACGCCCAAGCCAGACGGGCATATCTGCAATCGCTAGAGTGGTTTTGGCGTGGAGTCGGCAGGGATCGGGACACTCCTCACCCTTTTGTTTGGGAGGCTTGGGAGAAGCTTGCCACTGAGCAACCGCTCACCTGGAAGCGGTTGACGAGGAAAGTGCTGGGCCGATATACAACGTATAGGGTCATACAGGCCCGTGTTCGCCAAGCCTATTGTTGCCTTGTTTGGGCGGTGGCTAGCCAGTCTTGGCTCCAATGCTGATCCTGTCCTGGTTCAAGCAGGCCAAAGGATCACGAAGGAATTTGCTGATATCTGCCTTCAGAATGTGACCTTCGATGATTAGAACCTTGATGACGAGAATGAGCGAAGGGCGATTCAGCTTGGCACAATTCAGCCTTGCAGGCCCTCCAGATCCTTCCGAGAAAAGTACTTTCTGCACCTATATAGTGGCCGACGCCGTAAGGGCGATCTACAAGGTGCTCTAGAAGCGCTTGAACCGGAGGGAGGAGTGACCTTATGGGTCTTGTCCATAGATGTCATGGTGTCTGGCAAGTACTGTGACTTACTGCAGCATGATACTCAGCAATTGTGGCTGAAGATTGCTCGAGAAGGTCTCGTCGAGGGACTCTTAGCGGGACCTCCATGTGAGACATGGACGGTCGCAAGGGAAGCAGATGGCATGGCCCCGGAACATGGACCCAGGCCGCTGCGTACGGCGGCTGAGCCCTGGGGCCTGGTTGACCTGACGCAACGAGAATTTTTGCAGATTGACGTGGGCAACCAACTGATGATCTTTGCCATTAGGATCTGCCTGATCCAAGCCATCCAGGGAAAATTTTCCCTACTAGAACACCCCGACGATCCTGAACTGCATGACCGGTCCAAACATGCTTCGCCAAGCATATGGAGAACGGCCGTCCTAGCATGGCTCAGACAACTTGGACTGTTCGTAGAGCTTCGTTTGGAACAAGGGTTCTACAGCCAAGTGAGCAGGAAGCCTACTAGGTTTTTGATCAGCGGGGTTGTACAGGACATGGCCCAGCAGATCGGGCTACAATGTAGAACCTCAAAGAGGCCAACAGCCTCGACTATTGGAAAGACCAATGGCGGCTCCTTCAAAACAGCAAAGCTGAAGGAGTACACGCCAGAACTGTGCGCTATGATTGCTCAACTCTATGCTCACCGATTGAGACCCCAATGCGAAGCATTGGATGTGGCTCCTGGCGAGTATAGCTGGATGCAATCACTTTCCGTCAGCGCCTACGAGCACGAGACTCATGGCCCTGACTTTGCCGGCGCTGTACAGAGCTGAATTCAAACTGCGAGGCGGCGCGCTTTACTGCACTAGCTGCGCATGGAAATGGAAATGGAAAACTGGGACTGTCCCTACCCTGGGCACCTGAACCCACTCCAAATCGATGGTTGCAGCACCAATGGCCTCTCCCATCTTGATGGCATCACCTGTGCAGTGCTCACCGTTGGTGGTGGGCAAATGCAACAAATCCGGCCGGTACGTCGCCAGCAAGGAGTTCGAGCCGAAGTCCGCGCCGAAGCCACCCGAGGCCAACACCATGGGGCCGAACTCCTTGATCACTTTTCCAGCCTTCCGGTACTCGCAGCCCACCACGGAGCGACCATTCCTGAGAAAACCAGCGAACGGAATCTCGTCCGAAAGAAGACAAGGTTCCCTGAACAAGATTCATCTTGGAGGGAATGATATTCCGCATCGGAACGAAAAGCTATGGCAGTAAGAAATGATCGATCATTAATACATGAATGCAACTCACCTTAAGCGAAACCAGGAGTCAGGACCAATTTAAAGACTTCGGCTTTGGTGATGATGCGAGCACGATTGGTCTTCTCTGCCACCTTCTCCAACATCTGAATCAAGGCATAAGTGATGGTCATGCCTGGGAAGCGCTCCTTTCCACGATGCGTGCGCGGTTGGGAGTGGCCGCCCAAGCGTGCGAGCAAGGAGAGGTCCAGGTCGAACTTGTCCACCAGCCAATCCACATCAGCAGCACTGTTGGCACCTAAATCACTAAAAGCTCCTTCAAACGCAAAGCACGAAGCAGTGAAAACGCACATTCAAAAGGAAATCAAACTTATGATTGTGGCTGAACTTAAAAGAGCCACCACAGTGTTGTCGCACAAACACAGAGAGAATATAAAGCTATATACAACTGGGGCTCCAACAAAGAACCTTGGCCAATTCGGGCTTCTTGGCGCCACCCTTGAGGGTATCGGCGATGAAGATCTCTGAATTATCTGGGATAGACTTGCTCTTTTGCGTCTTGGTGCCTGCGCCATTAATGCCACTAGTGGCCTTGGTGCTGTTGCCACCGCAAAAGGAGGACTTGTCCAAAAGCAGAGTGCGTCCGCCGTTCTCTACCACGGTGTTGGCCGCCGACATACCTGCGAGGCCACCACCCACCACGATCACCTGATTGGCTGGAAACACCGCCGCCATGCTGAGCGGAAGCGAAAGCCCAAACGATAAAATGTCTTGAGGCAATATGGCTGCAGATCTTGAAATTTGCTCCGTAGCCACGCCCAGCACACTTCTACCTCTATCATCCTCTATCTACCTCTATCTCAGTGTTTTCGGTCTACCACCTCGCAACCACCTCGCAACGCGGCAGCGGTCTCGCCCCTCTCCGGTTCGCCCCCGATCCCCGGCGCTGCGAACCGCACCCCCGCATGGCCTGCGGAAGGAGGTGCCGCAGCGGTGGAGGTGCCGCAGCGCGGGCGAGCCCGCACGGGTGGCCGGCGGGAAAACTCTGAGCAAAGGCATGGCTCCATTCATGAGGCGTGAAAGGACCAGTTGTTCCCCCCCCCCCACGGGGAGAAGGGTGGTGCATCTTTAATTGAGTGGTCGAAATGGAGGAGAACCCGGCCTATTCAAGCATTTTTGGTAGCAAAGCAGAGCTTCTGATCCTAAGATCCTGGGCGGGTAAAGAAGCAGTGCGGCGATCCTGCTTCATGATCATACTTGTTGAACTTTAGCTAAGATCATCTGAGGTCAATTGATTGACTGGCTTGGCGTGCGAACAAACCCCATCTCAACCACGGCTCTACATTTAGACCTATCTGTGGGAACAAAAGCACCAATGTAGTCGATCCTGATGTTGGGCAAGCAATGCCAGTTCCCTTACATTCAAGTCCTGTCTCCTGCTGCCTGTATTATGTCACTCTGTGGTGGGCTTCCAACAGTGTCCGCTGAGAAAAGCTGCTGTGATGAAGAGCTGAAAGGGCATGCAAGGGGCCAAAGTACGGCAGATCGATTGTGGAAGGAGGAACCCACACGAAGAAAGTGGGCAAGATATGGCACCTCCGGTTTAGGCATCATGCTTTGGCTGCTGGTGTTGTGGCCTTGCCTGGCCACTCATCTTTAAAACACTCAGCCTCCGGCCCAAGTTCTCAGGCTGCAATTCTCCTGTTCCAACCTGGGTGCTTTGGGGCCACTCGCGCGAGGAGGAACCGCTTCCATCCCGATAGGCTTCAGCAAAAGCAATTGCAACAGCTGTAGCAAAGAACTCAAAATGAAAAGGTCAAGCGCGAAAGCTGACCCTGAGAGCTGACGGCCCCACCGACAGCACTTTTGACTGACCTCCTTGCAAAGAGGCGATGCTGTGTGCATCTGGCATCATCTGGAAAACTTTTCTCATGCGGTGCCTGCATCTAACACCCGCCCTGAAAACAGGAGAAAAAAGGTGAACCACGCCTTTTGGCCTTCGTCAGACATCAAAAGAGTCGAGTCTCAGCGCCCATTGTGGCACGAAACCATTCGTGCAGGACATGTGCCTTCCTGTACATGACAGCGCTGCGATGCGGCAAACTCTGATAAAGACTGGTTGAATTCTGAGTCTCCACCGGTTGCCATCTTTCAAATGATGCAAACTACTGACACCAGGCTTTAGAAATGATTTGGACCACGCGCGAGTGTTGCGTTGGCCCGGTGCATGGATGCACGGACTTCATAAATTTCCCTGGCCGACCGTCAGCGGTCTTCGCACGTGTAGGGTGACGCCTGCGCTCTCTCTGCTCCAGCGTTGGTGCTGGGGCGGCCGACCACCACAAGGCTGACGACCACAAGCCCCACCCAGACAGTATTGAAACAAAGGGATTTCGTCCATGAAGATGTCAGGACACCCACAAGAATGGCAAGCAGTGCGACTGCAAGGGCAGCTAGACGTCCATCCAACGGGGGAAGGCCAAAGCCAAATCCTCGTTCAAAGATGGCGCTTTCATCATCATGCTCATCTTGCTGCAGAAGGGCCTGGATCCAGAAGCTTTGACACTTGACAAGGAACCTGTGGCTTTGGCTCATCTAGGGCCTAGGGCATCTAGGGACCGATAATCTGACTAAAAATTACTGGAGGCCTCTGCACTGAACCAGCTGGCCCCCAACAACGGGGCCGCCAATGGGTTCTACATCGTCCCTGTCCCGCTGAGAATCGACTGAGAAGTGACCGATGAGGTTTCTCGTATGCTGCCTTCACCTCTTCGGATGCTTCATCCACCTTCTCTTCCTCCTCAATCTTGCTGTCACTGCCTTGGGGCGGAGGAAAAGTCTCTGGAACCAGTATAAATTATGATCATAAAACATGCTCACTCCCATGACACCGGAAAACCCTGGCCCGCATGGCAGTGGAGAAACCAGACTCTCCCAGGACACATGGAGACCTTCCCACACCAAGGTTTCCCTCCCCCTGTCTCCCCAGCTGGGCCCCCTGCTGATCAACCGCTGATAGGCCTGCTCCGCTTCCGCGGTCGGGACGGCGGTGCTCGCTTGGCTGTCAAATCCTCGGCGCACGACGAGACCCTGAAAATGAAGGTCTGGAAGCTCCGACGAGCATGGAAGACCATCTCGGCATGTTCTTCTTGTCTTTTTCTTCGGATGTTCGCGGATTGTATGTTGCTGCTCTAGTTTTGGGGGGAGCCCCTCTCAACCCTCCAGTATCTCCTCAGCTCAAGGAACGTTCAGCTCTACTGCATCTTGGCCCCAGGAACGCTTGTCACTCACGGATGCCGCTAGGATTTGCCAATAGGAGTCGGGTCAAATGTTTCCACCAGACCCGCTTATCTACCTATCTACCTGCCCCTACCTACCTACCTACCTACCTCCCTCCCTCTGTCTCCCTTTGTCTCTCTCTGTCTCTCTCTCTCTCTCTCTTCCGTTTTTTGATCTCGAACTGGGCCCAGAGGCGGTTCCAAACAGATTTGCCAGCACAATCCTCTTCCGTCACCGTCTCCTGACAAGACCCCCCAACAACTGCACACTGCGGTTCAGGCATCCCCCGCTTCAACGTAGATCCCTTTTGGTGGGTCCAAGCAAGCACCGGCCGACCAGGCCTTTGAGGTCTGACCGGTCACAAACCCTCTGGGGATGTAAAAGAATTTGAGCTGATGCCGGCCGGTGTAAACTGGTCCTGACTCGCCTCTGAGCTTGATCGGTTCTGCTCTTTGGGCGTCCGGGATGGTCAAACTGAGCAAAGCTCTGTATCAGTGGGCAGGTTAAGCCACTGCCGTACCTCACTACTTACCACTCATAAGCATCCTCACATACGCTTCAATGGCGAATCGGTCCAAGTTTCGTGAAGCCACATGCTTAACATCCATCTAGCCAGCCTGAGTGGCTCATCTCATTCCCTTGACCGGACCAAAATCCTCAAGTATAGGCTGTGTCTATGGTGGTCATCTCTCCCCGATCCTCCCATCCGCCCCGCTCTCCCCAGTCCTTGGGCTCCTTCTCCTCGCTGCCCGCCATCCCGGGGAACCAGGAGATTGGCTTCCTCAGATTGATAGAGCTCACCCACCCACCTCGAGAAGAGTCTTTAGAACCACGAATGACCGACCACCCCGGTGAATGAAGAGTAAATGGAGGGCGTGTGGAGAAAGAGAAAAAACCGACTACCACCATGTCTGTGCACTGCAGAAATTGGCCTCTGGGTTGCTATAAATCCCTTTCTCGTGGGGAAGGGGTACGACTTGGCCGACTCAGCCGTCGCTTAGTCGGAAGAAAAGAACGCGGCCGTCTCAGATGTCCTGAGGACGACATTGTGAGGGCACGTGTCACACTTGCCTTATCATCTACCCCAACTCTTCAACCTGTGGTAGAGCGGCTGGTTGAGGATATCCTCCTGTGCAAAGATCATGGCTGCACGGCAGGACTTGTTTGAGCGGATGATTGCTTATTCTCGACCTTGAGCCAAAGGCATACAGAGAAAACTGAGATATACATAAACTGACATAAACTGATCACACTGATCCTTGCCACAGGCCCGCAGGATGCCATGACTCCCTGAATCTTTGCAACATGGATCATCCCCTGGAAGAGCAAAGCACCAACAAGAAGACCCGTCGCAGCTTCGTCCTCTAACTTCAGCTCGAGGCTCTGCCTTCGGTCCGGAGCTCCGAAGAGAATTGGAGTAGGTCTAAATCCCCAAGCAGCACTTGAGAGAGGAGGGGGTACGAAAGGTAGCAGGCAATCACAAGTAACCCTGGTAGAAGTCCACGACGGCGTGAACCGGCGCAGGGGGGATTTGATCCAGGGGGGGGGGGGGTGAAAGAGTGACTAGGGCGTACACGGTAGAGGTGCAGACCGCTAGTGTCTTTTACTCACGCAGAGTCTTATCCTATATCTCTTGAGCCTTGAAGCAGTCAAGCATGGACACACTATATCGGCTGTTGGAGTGGAACCCTGTACAGGTAGGCTCTACTTTTCAGCAGGCACAAGATTCATGTCCACTCCTAGCTGATTGCGTATGTCGCATACTCTTTTTCTACTGCAAGGCTAAAACAGTCCAGCTAGCTCTGACAACTTAAAAGAAAACTACGGTGCCATGTACTTACCTAATCCAGTGTGTTTCACACTTCAGAGAAGGTAATCTCATAGCTACTAAATACAGTGAGGGAGCAATAGCTGACTCACCTCAAGTACAAAATCAAAGCGATAATGTACCTCGGCTGGAGACTGTACTTTTCGCAGGCGGAGATACCATGTACCGGCGCTCACTAGCTCTTTAGGGCCTGAGCTAAATCAAACTAAAAAAGGGAAAGCGGCTTTTTCTCTACAGAGACCTATAAAAGAATCAAACGACACTCGCGTAACAAAGAACTAAAAATTCAAGACCGCACAAATTGCAATGAATTAAGATGCCTTGCAAAATGCAAGGAGCGTACGGTTCGAGGAATAATCTTCTCGTGACGTGGTCTCGACCGCTTTCATTCACAGACAAAATAAAACTGCATCAAAAGGACTCTCTTTCACATTCACATCAAAAACACAAGAAGGAGATACCGGCAAATGTATGTACAAAAAAATCTTGCACTACAATTGCAAATCATGAAATGACTTAATCATCAACCATGACTGGTTGTACATTAGAGGTCATCTCAGAAAAAGCGGCTGCAATAGATATCATCAGTTATGCAAAACTGTCCATACCTATCTACCTGCTAAAGCGTATAAACCTGGAATGTAGGAGTATCTTCTTTGATAAAAAGTTTCTCCTTGCTGCAAACCAGAATTTATTAAAACTTCAGCCTGGCAACTTAAAGTCAAGCCTGGAAGCAAAGTATCAACTGTAACCAGAAGTATCTTCACTTCCTAGCCATCATTTAAATTTCAGCCTTCGCTCAGGAATTATGCCGCTGCAAACGATGAAGTTGCTTGATCAGAAGTTGGCGGCCTTCCTTTCCTTTTATTCTGCTTCTGTCTCTCCTTCCTCCGCAAGTTCGCCTCATGAAGAGTTGGTCCCATGCGATACTGTCTTCTGTCTCCAGATGAAAAGGAAGCTGGTCTGAGTGAAATAAACATTGGACCATGACTGTCCTCGTCAGTGGGCCTTGAGCACATAACCTCCGTGTCAATCATAGCAAAGTTCTCTGAAAAATTACAGATGAACTCCTTCGTGCTCACTGTGGAATTTTCATATTCCTCTTCACTCATTGAATGACCCCATTCAACAATGGTAGACAGACATGTATCGCCAAGCTGTGATCCTTGGTATTCTTCTTTTTCAACAGTAGAATATTCTTCCCAGAGTTTGTCAAAGTAATCTTCACACTTCTTGAGGACCTGTGAAGTTGAACTGTAAAAAGTTCTGGGAATAGGTGCTTTGATACCAAGATCTGCTTTTACACGGGCTTCTGAAAACCTGCGGATCCAATGCTGCATGGTGCTATAATAATAGTTAGCCATTGGCTGCCTTTTGTACCCAGACATTCTGTAGGCCAAACTATTTGCATCACCAGAAATGATGTCCACCTCATAGACAAAACACTCGTAAAGCATCAATGCTGTCTGTTCTCCTGTCAGTAGGTGGGCATCCACAGCACGGTGTGTATCAACATGATAATTACAGACTCTGATGGTATGCATGTTCGCTCGAGTAAGTGGAACACGCTTGTCCTCAGGACCATAGTCATCAAATTCAAAGTCTGCATCCTTGAAATCTTGACGAGGCCTTGTTTCTCCAAAACAAATCTCGTAGATAGTCCAAGTTACATCACGCTGTTCACAGTGACCAAGGTCTTGGTCATGTCCAGCAATGATCTTGACATATCCACCTGGTGCCAATCTAGCCATCACTGCAAGATTCTCCCAATCATTGAAACAAACTGTCCAATTCTTTTGCTCAATAAATTCCTTGGCAGGAACAAGAAGATGAGCTTCCTGGAGAATCACGACATGTGCACGTAAAAAGAAGAGCATGTTGAAGAAAAGGTTGTTCTCAAATTGCTCATTCTGAAGTGACATGGCGCTCTGTTTGCGTGGCCTCATTGCACTATCAAGTCCTTGGAGAAACCTTGGTGTGGTGTACTTCTGACCACGAACCATGTTGCCATAGTTCCAGGATAAAAATGTCAAGGACTCTGAGCTGGCCAATAAGTTAGTTCCATATGGTTCTTCTATTCTTCCCTTGAGGAACCTTCTGCACAGCTCTTCATAGAAGGTGACAAAGTCCCAACTGGGTCCCTTGGGACCATATGATTCCAGTTCATTCTTGAGTTCCTTCTTCGTCTCCTCCAATTCTTCTCGAGCATGACCTGCCCTTTCAAGGGCCTTTGGATCGACCTGATACCTGCCATCCAAATAAATGATGCGATCATCATTGATAAAGAATCTCTTCAAATCATGCTCTGGTTCATGTTCATAACAATCAGGTGGAAGTACTGGACAGATATTACGAATGGATCGAACAAAATCATTCTCGTTGATCCTCGACTGATAATGAGGATGGGAAATCTCACCTTTTCTGAAACAAACATGATTCAGCAATCTTGCATGAGTTTCCCTGAAGCATAGTTGATAAAAGCCAATACCTGGATCTCCTGTAAGCTCTCCAAGCAACTTCAAAGGTGAAGTATGCAACTCATAGGTATTGTCAGCTTTTGTTGTCTCCTTTTCAGCAACTACTTCAGATGGAAAAGATTCTTGGATTTCAGCCTCCAATTTCTTCTCTCCATCATCCTCTCTGACCTCTTTTATTTTCTCCACCGCCTCTTTCTTCTCTTCCATAGTTGCATCATCCTGAACTTCTTCATGAAAATGAGGATCAGGAATCTTATTCAGGCGGCTTTTCTTAGATTTCGGCTGACCTGAAGTATCATCAAGGTTAGCATCCATCTCACCTGATGGTAAGTACGATGCAGTCGAGTCCTCACCTATCTCTCTTGACAGAAAGTGTGGTGTTGACTCTTCCTTGGCTTCCTCCTGGTCCACTTCCATCTTTGGTTCCTCTGAAGGAAAAACACCTGCATTCTCATCAAATATTTCTTCTTCCTTTCCAGGTTCAACTGCAGGATCTTCTTCAGGAACTTCCTCTTCCATATTCTCATCTTCTAGAAGTATTCTACTTCCAGTATAGACTTCACCAGCGATAGTGGAGACTCTTGTATAAGGAGGAACTTCTTCACCTGCTTCAAAAGCTTGTTCTGCAACATCCTTGGTGAGCAAGTCCTCTACAAGATTTTCCCCCTCGGTTCTTGGAAGAGGTCCTGAGGTCTCATAAAAATCTGTCCTCTCTGAACTGAAAGCTTCTGTCGCCTTCTCATTGTCCTTTTGATCCCTGAACAGGTGAGTAATCTTCACAGCTTCTCCCTGTAGCACCTGATCACCTCCTCTATACTTGTCGACAATGGAGCGCCATACTGGAACATCATCATCATCAAAATCAAGCTCCATATCATCTGCCAACAAGTATGAGATGTTTTGAGCTGCCTGTTCTTCTCCTTCATCACGTTCTTTGGCAAGCTCCTCATCCTTCTGGATCTTGAAGATACCCTTCAGGATGTCTTGTAGCACCTTTAAGTTCAGCTTCGATGATGGCTCATACGTCCCTGAACTTACAGGCTCAACTACAACACGAGAGCAAGAAATCGCCTCCAAAAACTTGGAATTGTATTGGCGTTCAAACTCTTCCTTCTTGATCATCTCATACAAGGGATCAGAAACTGCAACACGCGCCTGAACATATTCACGAAGTTGATAGCATGCATGTTGCACAAATCTACTGTTGGAGTTGTGAAGAAAACTCTCTAAATGATTCCTGTCACGGTCAATCAAATACCACACAATCCTTGCAGAAAAACGGAATTTCTTGAAGTTCATAGCAAAATGTGTATGATACTTCTCTGGATTCCTTTCTGCTTGTAAGGCGGCCTCTGAAGTCTTGTAGGCTGGGAGATTTGTGTCTGGATCCAAGATCATAAACTCTTCCCACAAGATCGAGTGGTCAAGAACCCACTTGGGAAGCACCTTGATGAAAAAGTCACAAACAAGTTCTGACACAAGGTGCATGACACGACCAATCTCTTCCTCCTGCTTGAAGCGATAGTGCAGCTTGGCAAATAAGGGATTGTTGAATGCTTCCTCCACTGTATTGCCAAAATTATCCCACTGAGGTTCTGGAATACCAAAGTTCCAACCCAGCAATTTGGGATCTCTGCACATATCCAAGAAGCTTGAAAGTTCTACAGAAGCAATGCCATGGTCTGTCAGAATTTCAGCCCAGCGGCGTCCATTCTCCCAAGCACGGGTGAAGAAAAACTGTTGGTATCCAGTTTGTGCCAACTCCATCCACTGAGAAATTCCGGGTTCAAAACTCGGTGCATACGTCTTGGGGTCTTCCTCTGTTCCATAAACACTTGGACGTAGCAACTTGTACCTTCTACAAAAATATTCTCTCTGGTGCCTTGTCAACCTGTCCCAATCCCTCACTAGAATCACGTCTTCTCCAGTGCTCTGGAGTACACGTGTTCCTATGCGATCATGGAGTGATACCATGCCAATGTCATATACC